CTTCTGGATATCAAACGCCACGTTGTTGCTTCACTACCTGAAAAAAGATGCCGGGCTCGTGGAGGCTACGGTCGAGTTCCAGGCTCAGCTGTCGGAGCTCATCAATGAGATATTCATCCTCATCGTGCGGGACGCCGAGAGGCGGTTAGACAAGGTGCTTGACGCAGCGATGCTAGACCACGAAACAATCCCGGGCTTCGAAGACATTGCGTTCCAGAACGAGTGGAGGATCTTCAAACGGAAAGCACAAGTCAAGGAAGAGCCCATGGAGAAGCGCTTCCGACCTCCCTCCCCAAAACAACGGGCCAAGCCTGCTCCGCGCAACGTCACTTCATTACTCTCATCCACCTTGTTCGTTCTTGATCTTTATGATATCCACTCAGTTATTACGGCGCAAATCATCTCTCAACTCCTCTACTGGCTCGGCGCCGAGCTCTTCAACCGCATTATGTCCAACCGAAAGTACTTGGCCCGGACAAAGGCGATGCAGATCCGCATGAACGTATCGACACTGGAGGACTGGGCTAGGACCAACAACCGCCAACCGGAACACTACGAAGGAGGTGAGACGAAGTCCTCGGGAGAGACGACAATAGACGCTGCGAGGCGGCACATGGCCCCCGTCATCCAGCTGCTCCAATGGCTTCAGTGCTTCTCGTCACTCGGTGCCGACGACCTCGAGGCCTTGGTCGGTACCCTGCAACAACTGAAGAGGCTGAGCCCGCAGCAGCTCATACATGCGGCTTCGCATTACAGGCCGGAGGTTGGCGAAAAGGGGTTGCCTAAGAGCGCACTCAAGTATCTCAACGCGATCCAGGCGGAGCATGTGCGCAGGAAGGAGGATCGCAAGAGCAGCGCACCGTCAACACCGGTCAAGACGAAACCCGCAAACGGCGGTATAGGGGGAACGCCAGGGAGCCAAACGGCGACAAAGACGCCAGGAGCCGACGAGAGCGACGAGGAAGAGGACGACGCGCCGGAGAACCTCCTAATGGACCCGGCCATGATGCTGCCCTTCACCCTGCCATCGGTCACGGATATGTTGGTATCTTACGGTGCCGGCTTCGGTGGCGTCAACAGAGAGAGGGCACGCAAGTACATCCCCACGGTACCGCCCGAGTTCCTTTCGAAACTTGAAGCTAGCGGTGCGCGGAAGGGCCCGATGTTCAGCGAGAAGGACTGGGAGAATGAAGAGGTTTGAGAGGAAGAGGCAAACCCTATCCGAGGCGGATTAGGTATATGAGTAATGGGAATCAGCATTCGACGTTCCAAGTGGCTGTCCCACCAGGCGCCAAAGCGCGGACACCGCACAGCATTAGGGAGACTCGAGGACATGACACGAAGTAGGGCGAAAAGGATCCCGATAAGCATAGCGTTTGATTGATTCGATGGGATGGGCGATGCAAGGGGAAACAAGCAGAGACCTAGGGATCCACTGCGATATTGTGATAGTCCCAGAGGGGAGCATTTCGCAGACGAGGACAAGTCAACGCGATAGGGGATGTGAGAACGGCTCACGCTGTGCTTTCCGTAGGCATGCCGCATGAGAGCTCAGCGGTGTTAGAAAATCTAGTCAATTCCCAGGGGGAAAAAATGACCCAATACTTTCCCATCTCTTGCTATCTATCTTGTTGTCCACCTTGTTGAGTTGACTCATACTACAAAGCAGACGACGGTGGTTCCCGAGGATCCGCTTTTGGGGGTAAGATGGGGTTCCCACTCGGTCGTTTGTTCGTGAACATAGCGGGGTGTACTTCGTACGAAGTATGGAGAAGGGGTCTTTGAGGAGGAGGGGGGACAAGTTGCCAACAAGGAGGGGGGAGAAATGCAGGCACGCGGATTTTGCCCTCTGAATCATTCGACCGAGTGCAAAGTTACCCCAAGTCTGTCTGACTTGAGCCACGTTGACGAAGCACAAAAGAGCCACGCGATATTCGAGATCCACGAGGGACACGAAGGGGAGCCGCGGTTCAATTCATTTCGTTACCTGACGTGGATTGTCAGTCGGCGCAGCGCATACAGATTATTTAGGGCAGAAACTTTTTGCTACGGAGTACACAAGATTGCTTCGGTGGATCGTGGAACGTCCTGTGTTGGCTCCTGGTGGGACGACCCAGTGACACGGAAAGGGGGGAAGCGCCTAGGTTGAGAAGGTGAGGGGTGCGGAGGACCCTGAAGTTCGAATTAGAGAGAGGGGGAGCTGATGAAGCCGAACCCAATGCGGGATATTGAAGGTGTTGTTCAGAGGTATCTGGTGTAGTCACGTCGCAAATGTCTCGGGTCCCTCCGACTAGAACCATAGCATTCGTACCAATAGGTGAAGTATGGGATTCAATCAAGCATTGGCTGGTTAGCTGAGGGCGGTCGTGGGAGTGTCACTCGCGGACTAGGATGTGCCACGTCAGATCTTTGTTCCTCGTGCCGCGCTGGGCCTGGGCTGGCAGTATCATTAGTGTACACTGGATGCTGCAGTTATCCCTCTCGAGTAAAGCGGCTGGGCGGGCGGTTTGGCTCTCCAAGAAAAAAAAGTTCGCAAAACAATGATGGAACGCAAACGCTCTTGGGCCGATTGGCTCTTGTGTGATTTGCCAACTGTCCGAGATGTGCTTCGTGGGACGAGCCGGGGAACGGCATGGATGGAGCCGGTCGGGAAGTTTCCGTTTGCTTCTGAAAAGTCTGGATCTGCTGTTTATTGGTGTACGGGGCACACGAAGGCGTGACATGTTTTGATCCTGTTGCATTTTGGAGGAATTTGTCCGGGAGGGAAAAGGAGAAGCGAAAGGTCTTGAAGCTCAGCTCCGGCGATATTGCGCATTCTTGGGTCGGTTTGCTTTTCACCCACCCGATGTAGCATGGTGCCTGGCGAGCCAGGAAAGACAAGAGTCGACATACTCGAAATACTCTCATTTGATCTCAAATCCCTGATCTAAATTGGCGTTGGCCTATATGATAGACGACGCCAAAAGCCTTTCCAATCCGATTTTGTCCGCGATTTCAGCTCAATGTGGAAAGGGAGAATACCTAACCTGATCCTCCTTATGAGTTGTAATATGGGTATGTACGTAGGGCAACTGAAAGTCAACAACGTCGCTTGGGCCAACCATGCTACCAGCTTTCCGGCTCATGAACGTACCTTTGGTGGTTAACCTTCCCTGCTGGTCCTAGTCAGACCTCTAGCGTTGTCTCTGAACTTGTGAAGGACATGGAAGGCTGAGACATAGGGTATTTGGTGTTGATCCAGACGAGCCGCAAGTCGCAACAGAGTGCCTGTCGATCAAGGGAGGACTTTAAGCTAGCCGCATCGTGTGTTTACTTGCGATGATATGCGGCACGGCTTCAGACTTGAGATGAGGGCTACCTCGGGCCCGGCAGCAAGGGAGACGGAAAGCCTGTTCATGGGATGGAATCGACTCGGATTGGTCGCCAGACGGGCAGTATGCCAGTAGCTATCGCCGTGTCGTAGATCGATGGAATTGGCTTTGCGGGAGGCTGCAAGGGCTGACAAAGAGACGTGGTTGCAAACGGAGGAAATCCGGGGTCAAGTGCAGAGGCGCGATTGTTTGCATTGGATGTTGGTCGTCGGAAGGCCTCGTTCCCGTTTCTTCTCGTTGCTTCTTCTCTTCTTCTTCTTTCTCGTAAATTGACCGTACAGGAAAGACATGTTTCCGATAGCCCATGGAATCAGTGGATCGATCGAGACCTTTTCGATGACCGATGGGCGATTAGTGACAGTTGCTGCCAACGATGAAAGATTGGGAGGTCCAGAGATGCCTTGCTCTTCGCCGAGACCAGCCAGGGCCGACGTTGGAGATTTGAAGGAGGCAGCCCTCGTGCTACTTCTTCACCTCGAACAAGTGTGACCGCAATTTACGGCTGCTTGAAGCGGCCGTTGTTGTGTTGCCAATGCAGAGATGGGCGTGTTACTGTGTATCCGTAAGGCAGGCCGGAGATCAAACGGGCCAACCACCCAATAACCCATGTTAGACCATCGTCGGTTGCTGTGGTTGTCGTCGCGTCGAGATTTGAGATTCGGCGGTCATGAAGAAACCAGCCATGCGAACGGAGCTCGTCATGCAGCAGCGTGGGTCCCATGGATGACTGACTGACTGACTCCAAGTAGCGGTCTCTGCTCTGTAACGCAGAGATGAAGAAGAGAAAGATAGAGCGCCTCACCGACTCAATGGCAATGGCCTGGCGACGAGGTCGAAGTATCCGTACGGCCCGTCTTTTCTCTCCCTTCCTTTGGGTAGGGACGCATGGACAGATGGCGGGAACTGGGGCCAGTTACCCGATCAAGAATCGTTTGCTGTACAAGGCGACATGGGTTGTTGGCGATGTGGTTGACTGACTGACCACGTCTTTTTGGCCTTTCCGCGGTTTCACCCTCGTCGTCTTCATCATTTCTTTTGTGCGAGTATCGTGTTTTCCTCATGCGCGCATCCACATGGAGTGAGTTTTGTGCCTGGCTACATTGCACTTAAACGTCTACTCTGTCCCCAGGCCCATGGTTACGACTGGCAAACATATTGTGCCTGGAAGTTCAAGGACGGCCCTTCCTCTCCAGATGACATGGAAGTTCAGACGACAACACCCACTTGCTGAATGTTGAAGCAGGGGGGGGGTCCACTCGGGCTAGCAAGCCCAGGGCTTCTTTTTTTGGTCCAATTAGATACTGATTTTTGATGGATCCATCGCCCTTTTGGGACGAAAAGCTGCCAGCATTCGAAGGTGGGTACATGCGGTACGTAGATACTTGCCAAGTTGCCAGCCAAAGGCAAGTTCCGATTCTACATAGTAGGAATGTGCGACCCGTACATAGTAGTGTACGTAGGAGTACGTACCGAAGATACCCTGCTCTCGCTAGGAGCGCATTCCCCACCCCCGACCGCCTCCAACGTGTTGTGGACTTTGGACTTCCTGTGTGGCTCTGGTGCCGGGCCACTACCGCGATGTATTGCTGCCACCGCCGCTGCCACCGCTTCCTGCATTTGCAACCCGACCCTGCTGGGCTGGAGAAACGAAGGTCATGAGCCTGTCACCCACGCCGTTTTCTGTTCAATCTGACGAACGCGGCAAGGACGGCTGGGAGTGTAGGAAATAGACGGGGCACCGCGCCGGGGGAAGCATTTGTGGAAGAAAGAAGAGAAAAGAAAGGATGCCCTGCTCTCTGTTCCCTAGCTTAGTTATCCGTACTTTCCTCCTTCTCAGCCATCTCGAATCCGGACCAAGAATTTGCACATTCACCACCTCACTTCATGTCCACACTGGCACACACATCCTTCCTTCAAACCCTTCCAAGAGCCTTTCTTTCTTGCACCTGGCGTTTGTTCATCATCCCAAGACGCCCCCTCCGATAGACAGCTCTTGGTCACCCACCTGATTCCAAAAACACCCACGACGCGACTGTTTCCCGTCACTCAGCCGATCCCATCAACCCAACCTCACTCACCTCATAAAGGTAGCCAATCCTCCCTACCAAGCACTCCTCCACCTCCGGCGCAGTATCAAAAGTATCTTAACATCCTTCTTCACTCAGTCTCTCACCTTGGGATTGCTGGTCTTTTGCTATTCGGCACAGACACAGACAGATTCGCTCAAGTGACTTACTTGACTTACACGACGCCAGCAGGACCACACCAATCTCGCCAGCGTCGTCCTTGTCATTGCCGACCTAACATCCTGCTTGCTTCTCCGGATACCTATTCATCCCTCGGCTATCGCCGCACGTGTACGAGTACGTCACGGCCCTGCTTCATTTACCTCTGACAACCTTCTCTTGGGTTGTTGTTGGAATTGCATTGGCATCCCACTCCATTCCTCACCTCGGGCTCAGCATCTTGTTTGCCCAATCGAGCTAGCGCCCATCTAGTCCCCCAGGTCTTAATTTGGCACACCTGAATCCCAAGCTTACGGCCCTCAGCGCGCTCGACGGTGAGCCACTCACCCTCCACCACTTATATCGTCACCACACCCGCCTTGGCCGCCTCTCTACTCCATCTTTCTTCAGTCCGACGCCGGCATCCAGACATCGCGGCTCGGCCTGCTACTGAGCAGTTGAGCACGGTCTGATCGGCCCCAAGCTACGCCCTCCCACGCCCCGGCCGGAGCACCCTGAAATACCACGCTATGGCACCCCAAAAATTCGCCAGTATGCGCTTGAAGTCCCGGCCTACGCTCGTACCTTTCAAGGACGATGCTAGCCTCATTGCCCTCCGCTACGAGAAGACGGTCCAGGCAGAGCCTCCCATCCCTATTCTTACACGACTTCCCCAAAGATCTCTCTCTTGTTCAACGCGCCGAACGTCCACTTCTGCATCATCATCGACCTTCTCGAGTCCGCCCTCCAGCCCCGTTGTTGTTGCTCCTCCACCCGCCATCGACCAGCATCCTGCGTTTCGTTCCCGCGCCGCGGCCCGCAATACGACGGTAAACGATTGGAAGAGGGATTCCGGGCTGGCACCTACTGCATCGTCTTCAGCCACCATTGCTGAGGAGGACTGCGAGGACGAAGAGAGTCGTGCATGCGCCAAGATTGCTGCTCTGGATGCCCACACGGTTCTCGTGCAACAAGCGGAACAGCCTGTGATACCTTCTGTCTGCGAGAGTTCTTCCGTCGATGAGTTGGTTTTGAGCAAACAAAACTCTGGTCGTTGGTGCACGCCTTGCATCGGCAAAGACGTCGACAGCATGGATCATTATCAAAATGCGCAGGTCGAAATTGCGATTGCGGAAAGAAAGAAGTCTGGCAGTCTTAGCAGCACCTTATCGGTCGATTCTCCCGTTGAGTTGCGGGACAAGAGTCTGGGTGACCTATCACCTGCATCGGCGCCAATCATCTCCCATTCGCGGACCTCATTTGCAGCCTCCGATGACTCGCCTAATTTCTCCCCTGTCAACATCCACGAAGACTTCCAACTCCTGAGCAAGGATGCCGTTCACTTCTCTCCCATTTCAGTGTCCATCCCCACGGACAACCTCCTCGAAGATGATTTCCTAACCTCCTTGTCTTTCTCGAATCGAGGCAGTCTCATGTTTGGTGGTCTTCGCGCGTTCCCCGCACAAACCACCGACGGAACAATGGATGGACAGTCGCAAACGGACAAAGCCCACGCGCCTCCACCAACCCCTGCTGATGCCCCTGCATCAGCCCCCATCCTCCACATTCAATACGAAGAGCCGCCCCAGACCACTGCCGTCAGCACCACTACTGAGACCAGCGCGAACCATTTGAGCGCCACCGACACAACCTCGATCGAAGCAACGACGGAAGAGACGACCACGACTGACCCAACGACGGCAGAGACGACTGCAGAGTCGGCCTCACAAGCCACAATGACGACCCCCAGTATCTGCGTCTTGTCCGCGGACGTGGAGATGGAATCTCGAAAGGTGAGATCGCTCTATGAATCCGGCGAAGGCCTCAGGTGGGAAGACGGAGCCCGACCGTCGGATATTGGCGAGCGTCTCAACTCGACCGCCGAAACTCCGACGGAGGAGGTCGAGAATGATCCGTATGGTTTCCTTTTGCCCGGATTGGTGCCCAACCAGTAAGCTAACGTGTATTCCTGTCTGCAGCGTCGCCGAACTACAGCCTCCCGCTTGGGGAACTCCAAGATCTGGAAGTTCCTATTCCCATCGTCCCGAAACACGCAGCGAGTATGAGGTGGCCGGTGGTCTCGAAGACTGGGAAGACCTCGAAGGATGCGACATCGACCGTTATGGCTTCATCAGCCCGCGTAAGCCAGAGAAGAGCAATGGCACTTCCGCTGAACCTAGATCGTCGCAGTCGGCGCCTAGAAGGAAGCACGCCTTTTCCAAGCGAGATGCATTTGGGTTGGGCTTGCCATCCAGAGGACCCAGTAGGAAGGTGTCCGTTAGATCTCTCAACACGCAAGGATCAAAGGCTTCAGCTGCGTCCCGTCGGTCGACCCGATCCGCAATCAGACAAGCAGGAAACCTGCTCCCACACAACCGCGACCGACGATGGATGGACGAGGCTGGGGAGATGCTTTCGCTTTCACTGGGCGATGAAGAGAAGGTGGAGAAGATCTCCGAGGCCATCAAAAAGAAGGAATGGGAGAGATCTGAAAAGTGGCGTAAGATGGCCAAGATCGTCAAGAAGGGCAAGGACGGCGAAGGCATGGAGTTCGATTTCGATGTTAAGAACCAAAAGCTCATCGATAGGACGTGGAAAGGCATTCCCGACCGGTGGAGAGCATCTGCGTGGTACTCGTTCATGGCTACCAGTGCCAGGGCTCACAAAGACTCCCCATCCGAGGATTCCATCATCACCGACTTCCATCGCCTGCAGTGTAGGGGGTCGCCGGACGATGTGCAAATCGACTTGGACGTCCCCCGCACCATCAGTAGGCACGTCATGTTCCGGAAGCGCTACCGAGGCGGTCAGCGATTGTTGTTCCGAGTTTTGCACGCACTATCGCTCTACTTCCCGAATACTGGCTACGTTCAAGGCATGGCCTCGTTGGCGGCGACGCTGCTGTGCTACTTTGATGAGGAGAAGTGTTTCGTCATGCTTGTCCGTTTGTGGCAACTACGAGGCTTAGAAAAGCTGTACAGTCCTGGCTTTGATGGTCTGATGGCGGCTCTGAACGATTTTCAGACCAAATGGCTGGACGGCAAGGACGTCGCCAAGAAGCTGGTAAGACATACACGCGCCTCTCGACCGATGACGTTGGACTGACCTTTTCTAGACTGAACTCTGCATCGATCCTACAGCCTACGGTACCCGATGGTACCTGACACTATTCAACCTATCCATCCCCTTCGCGGCTCAGCTTCGCGTTTGGGATGTCTTCCTACTTCTTGGAGAAAACCCTACAGACTCTCCCAAAGTGCCTGAATCGCCCGTCACCATGAACGGCATTGACATTCTGCACTCCACCAGCGCGGCTTTGATTCATGCGCTGCGCGACGTTCTTCTTGACTCGGACTTTGAGAACGCCATGAAGGCTTTGACCTCTTGGATTCCGGTCAAAGATGAGGACATCTTGATGAAGGTGACGCGAGCCGAGTGGAAGGCCCGACAGAAGAGGAAGTAGAAAGTCTTGATTCCGACGCCTTCTTAAACGTCGACCCGCTCGTTTCCACATTTCCTTTGTTTTACACCACGACCTCCGATTTATGGATATGCGTGCAAGGCGTTTATGGAGTCGGTCATGTTGACTTCGACGCAAGTCGTCGACCAATACCCCGGGATGAACTGCAAACCTCGTATCTGCTGTTACGGGGGATTTCATTTGTGCACTTGAAACGAACGAAATGCTGGAGAAAGCAACGTGGGTTGCGGGAAGCCCTAGCAAAAAAGCGATGCGAGAGCAATGAAGCTGCAGCACGAATTTTTCATATACCCTTTATGCCATACAATAGCCTGGTGCCAGCTTCATATACAGCATCAAATCAATATATAATGTATTATTCGAGTAAAGATTGATCCCAACATCGTCTCAGTCCATGCCAAATGTTCACCATCCTTGAGGACACTGACAAGCCCGATTCAGAGACCGCTTCATCCCACCTTGTTGTCTACCTTCTAGGCATCGCTCGGCCGTGTTGTCGTCTTCTTTCTTGGTAATTCTGCCATGCCATTTGGTGTTGACGAGGTAGTGGCAGTAAGGATATCCAGGCGAATGAAATTGAGGCCACCCTTAGGACTGGCAAGATATATCATAGCAGCTGGGTTGTCTACGTCTCCTTGCATTATTTAGATGCCGTCATCCAACACAACACACTTTGTGTGTTTTCTTGCGTGGATGTTTTTTTACCTTTTCATCTTTAATGAGTGTCTGCTAGCTCCGGTATAATCTTCACTACTATCACAGCCACCTATTTCCATTCCAAACACAAAACAGCCAAACAAGATCCACGCTGACCGCACTTGTCATCAAAAACCGTTCAGATGTCGACCCTGCGAAACATTCCCCTCATCAGCCGTTTCACTGCTAGTTCGATGCGCCGTACTCACCACCCTTGCCCTCTACAAGCGTTCCTCACGCAGTATGAAGTATTCTCCCCGAAACGTCCTCGTTCGGCCCCGAAATCTTGTACACGTCTCCCCTTGTGTTTTGAGGTGCCGCAATCCGACATCTCCCAGTCCTAGACCTTCGTACTTGATAGGCGCGATCAAACACCCACACGCAAAGCTCCTGGTTCTCCGCGTCGTCGCTGTTGCTGCACGCCGTGGTCTCGACCGGTCGTGATGGCCCGGGACACAGGTAAGCCGGCGCTGAAGAAGCCTCTTGGGGTCTGTGATGGAGGCACTCCCGCTCGATTGTGAAGGTATTCGCTCTGCTCCCGTTTCGATACTGCAGCCGTCATGGGTACAATTGTGTTTTATTTTTGACGCGTGCTGATTTAGGGCGTGTAACTTGCGGCCCGAATGGGAAAGATCAGTAGATTCATTATTGACTTGCGGTGACTTGCTCGTGTAAGAACTTCTTCTTGGGGCGCCCGTTACCGTGCTTCACTGTTCTGGGCAAAAGGGATAAAAGCTGAAGAAAGATTGGATCTATCAACCTTTGAGCTTCGAGGCGGCATGATGGAGCCAGATCGAGTCATCAAGGGGGGCCGTTGGCACCAGTGTAGCCAGTGCGAGCTTGAGGAAGGCGATATCTTGTCGCATCTCGGAAGTTGTAACGGTTACTCTTTCGCATAGTAATGCCTCGTGAGCGGGGATGTTGTGTACGCTGTGGTTGATGAGAAGAACTAGTTGAAAGGGTGTTCACTATGGGTTTAGCACTCCAGTTTTTGACACGTTCAAGATGATGTTTGTTGAGATCTATACAACCAGTCTACCCCTGCAACAAGCTTTCAGCGCCACTACAGTATCCGGCGTGGAAATTATGTAGATCTAGAGTGACAGTGGTTCAGCCTTGTATTCTGCCTTGCTCGTCTATCAAGGAAACAGGAAGTTGCCAAGTAGTTCCATACCTGTTGTTTGAACCCATTTGACCTCTTAGTATTCATTCGAGATGATACTTGATCTCAATCTGAAGTGTTTCAGCGCAACTTGTCTCCCAATTACATTCACAAGCAAAAGGAAGACATAGATATACCCTTGTGAGAGAATCGAGAGTCATTGTTCCCGAGGGACGCAACCATCTTCTGGACGCAAACACAATATTTTCCTACCGCCGTCAGCCCAACTCACAGCCTGCTTTGTTTTGCCGCGGATCATCCTGGCGTATTGAGTTCTCCCTAATTACAGGCATTGTAGAAGCTTGAGGGTTTGTTGTATTCCTCCGTGTACTTCGGTTATGAAATCTTGCATAGCAGTCAGCCACGTAAGACTTGTTAGTGTACTTGCGAACGGTCACCCGGTTGTGATACACAGTCAACATCCAGCAACTAATCATGATCCATACCAGCCGAGGTGAAAAGACCCTGGCGCCTTCTGACCCGGGCTGGAAGCTTGCCTAGATTTTAGGTTGACAATAGCTGTTTAGAGCGGCCCACCCTTCTCAGGCATGTCTTCACGTGTTCGCACTCTAGGTACAGCATCATAAATGCTTCTTTTAGCTTAATCTTGTAGTTTGACCCTAAACAATTTCGAGCTTCTGCCTGGAAAGGCGCTCTTTTGGTCACCGGCCAATCGCGCCACAAGCCACATCAGCACAAGGGATGGACTGAGAAATTGCATGTAGTTCTCCCAGTCCCACCCTTCATCAACTGGCAGCTTGGAAGTAGCAAGCCGAAGTGTGGTGTTGGACTCGGTAAGTGGAACTGGTAACAGCAGAATCTATCAGGCCTTATAGCTTTCATGATCATGCCTATGTGCAACGTGCAGTCTTCAACCTACATCGCAAGTTAACCATATGGTCCAGGGCGTAAAAGGAACGTGGACTTTCCAGGTGAGCAGATACGCTGCAGGCAAGTTCACCCCAAATTGCCTGCCGAACATCCATCGTCACCCACCACTACGAAAACATCAAAACACATCAAAAAGAAGTCAAAAACATACAACACCAGGTATTCGCTGGTCGTCACCGACCCAACTACTAATCCGGCCCTCATTGGCTTATCTATGGGAGAGCGGACGGGATCCCGAGTTTTCCAATGGGTATGGTCGTATGTGGTAGGAGACGAAGCACAAGTTGACTATAGTTCACGATACCATAACAACCACACATCGTGACTTTTGCTAGGATTTGATGAGCGCTTTCTCTTGAGGTGTCATTATTTCGTTGATTCCATGTGTTAACCTATTTCTAAGATGCAGTTTGAATTCTCAGCTCAGAAGAGGTACTCTGCCTCGTCAGCTTAGACCGATCGTGACTTACACCACGTCTTTGAACAGTGTATGACGCCTGTTTCTGCCAGACTTTAGAAAGAGCCAGCCTAGAATAAAGGCTTTTCCGCTGACAAGTAAGCTCAGAAAAGTGAACTGTCTTGCGGGAATTACTTTTATTCATATCACCTCTTCCATGATGCCCGAGGTTATTAGAGAGTCCTGGATAATGGCCCGGGCAATGACCCGACAGATCATGGGCCTGGCTCACAAAAATCACGGAGAAATGAGTACGCTACTAACACATGGGCGGGAGGCGTTTCAGCGAATCGATAGTATGTGTTAGAATGCCGTGATGTGCGGGTTTGCAACGTAGCTGGTAAATCACCCAGATACTTGGCGTCTCGCGTGACTTACACTTGAACAGCCGCCGCGTGACCCCTGATCACACTAGGCAAGACACCAGACAAGCAGCGGTTGAGATGAGAACTAGCCAAATCTTCATTGTTTCCGCACAATATCAAGGCATGCTCCAGTCCATTGAATACTGCTTCAAGAAGAACCATTTCGAATCCTCCGGTTGCCGATATGACATTGTCTTCCCGGGGGCTTGAACCCCCCCATGCCCAGTGAACGATGTCACCTCAATGTCCGAGACGACGAAGCAGCAATCTCGTCGAACAACCGTCAAGTCATTCAAAATGTAAATGTTCGCAAATGAATCCCAAGCAATATCGAAACCCAACTCGGTAGCGGTCGTTCTACTCCTACCTAGTTCAACGTGCCCCCTCCCCCTCAAGGATGGAAGAGGCGTTTCCGTATACCGGCACTGCCCCTTGCTTCCCCGATCTGGTGCTGGTATGTGCTCAGATCTTGCAAGCTTCACTGGCACTGGGGTAGCATCTCATGATCTTAAAAAACCGGAATTCCGTCGTATGAAATCCTTGATGAGATGCATAGTCCGATTTTCGATAAGGGAAAAGATCAGCAAGCATCCATCTCCAAGGCTCCAACGTGGAAGAGTAAAACCCCACCTTGTCCCCGACATCAAGTTTCTGTACCGTGTCATGAACGTGTGCGTGGCTTCCTGAGCCCTGACGGGTCGGTAAAACTTGCAATGTTGCATTCGACGGATGATTTTCCACAATCGGTTCCATGAAAGGCCGATGGTCACTTGGCGGGTAGTACCACTATCTTAATCTTCGATGGACCCTGCATGGTGGTCCCGAGTGATGCGTCAATGAATGAGGCTTCACCATCGAAGGTCGGGATCAAGATAGTCTAATGGGCGCCACTGCGATTCTGAACAAATGACGAACTTCAAATGAGAATGTGGCAAGGCAACTAGCTTTGTCGTGATTGTTCGGACCAAGGCACCGCAGGAACTTGTTGGCAAATATACACATGACTGAGTCAAGAACGCCTGAGACGTTACAACGAATGGCATTGAATCGAGTCATTTCCATTTGAACCAAGTTGTGGTTTTCAAAATATCAACTGGTGGATGAATGTGCCATTTAAGCAACATGCTCGCGTCTTACACCGCGACACAACACACCTTTGCTTAGCGCCAACAAAACAGACGCCCGAAGCGCACAGGCAGTAAGCCCAACCCTCTCGTCAATTTTCTCGCAAAGACCAAAAAAAAAAAAAAAAAAGACACGGACGCCAGCCGGGACTGGATTTCTCAACACGGCCCCCCCCGGTCCCGCGGCTCTCCCGCGCCTGAACATTACCCCCCACTACACTGCGAACCCACATCCGTGCACGCCGCGCCATCATCATCGGCCGGCTAAGGGCAGCCCTATATGTGGCGGATCATTAAGACGAACCTCACCTACCTATCCGTACGAATGCCCGTATCTGTCGTTCCCTCCTGGAATAGCCGAGGATTGCACTTTGGGATCAGGTATTCAAGCCAAGCCGGTGCTGATTCGACACCGAACGAAGCGATAACGGCCCGCGGGCTTCATGCTGAACTAGCAGTATAGTAACAAGTTTGGCCTGCCCACCCCATTGATATCCTGGGACCTCTAATATTCATCCCATCATGGTTCCGCCTTCGTGCCACCCGCCGCCCGAGTTCATCTCTAGACGGACGTATTCGTATGTCCCTCGGTTCATTGGCTATCCATAGGAACCTGGTCACCGGTATTGTACGGATTAGGTACAGACAAACAAGCATTTGGGAAGCTACACCCCCTCTCAGTTCCGCCGTGCCCACGCCTGCGTGTCGTACGAATATCGTTTACCCCCTTACCTTACGTTCAACAAACAATACTGCAAATACCTCACTCGACCCCAAGCGCAAAGCAGAAAATGACCAAAGGCGAGACGGACACAGCCACGGGGGGGGAAGTCGATAGCTACAAGAACCGACCATCCCATTCATACCCAACTACCCATTCGTACATTCATGAACCAGGTAGTACCGCCAGGACCGGTCAGATTCCCTTTCAGGAAACCACGCCCATCAACCCCCCATTTTACACCCGGTCTGTCAGTTAGGTCACCCACGTCAAAACGCCTCAAAAGTCTCGAACATTGAAAATCCAAAACAAATGCCCACATTCCTCCCCACGCAGACGAAGTGACGAATGGAGATCCATCTGACAGGTCAAATGCAAGTTGGAGAGTAAAGACAAAACCGAACGAAACGAAGCTACGGACAATTAATTAGACTTGCGTCAAAGTCAGGGCTGGCGGGCCATTCTTTCGAAAAGTCTTGTAGTGCCTGATACGGAGTAGCTAGCATCCTGTCACGCCGCCGCCCTCCCCTCATCCGGGACGGAACACATGGAATGGAAGCGAAATACCTGCCATTGTTTCGGGTTGAATCAGAATCGGTACCTGTCCTGCGCAAAAAAAAAAAAAAAAAAACTAAAAAAAAAACTCTTGCCCCGCCCACGTTGTGTGTGTGCCTTCTACTGTTAGCTCCCTCCGCGTGCGCATTGCTCCCGGCAACAGTCTCTTTATTGCATCATTGCTTCCACGTTGAGAGAACGGCAAACCCAAAGAAGAACACAGCTAGCTTTTCCGTTCGCGAGTACCCAAGTGCAGATAGGTACTGATTCAACAAGAAACCGCTGAATCAACCAATGTCAACCAATGCGGTTGAGACGCCCACATACATGCACACTCACCCAGTCCCCCGGTTCCGAAACGCACTGTCCCCAACCTGATCCCCGCGCGCCCGCGCCCGCGCCCGCGCGAAAGAAGGAAAAAAAAGAAAAAAAGAACACCAAGCCAACAAAAACCAAATCAATCGTCCAATGATCCAATCTCATGTTCGCCCAGATATGAACTTGTTAAAATCTCGCGCTCATACCACTGACCAGGCTTAGGCTTGCGTCGGGAACGTGCACCTGACCTTGACCAGATCGGGGAAGGGGAAAAGCCAGGCACAAAGCCCACCCCCAACGTAACCAACAGTTGTGTGAAAAGAAGGGAGCGAAACTCTCTCATTACCGACGTTGGACGCAACCTCGAGGTCCGGGCACCCGGCACCGGGGGGGCATTGCCCGACGGGCGGAAGGGCGGCGGCGGCGGACGGGGCTCTCACCCGGCAGCTAGACCCCACCGGGCGAAAAGGGCGGGCCATGATTACCCATTACCACTGAGGGAAAAAAAGAAGACAGACGCCCAAGCCTCAGGGACCAAGGAAGAGAGGGAAAAAAAAAAGCCAAGATTCTCCACTCCTCATCTCCATCGCCGAGGGGATGCTAATCTCCCGCCCCGAGCTTAATCCAGCTTTGCTATACCATTGTCATCCCTTCTCAGCGTTAGAGTAGCTACTCCTCCACCCAACTCTCGAAGTTTGCCGCGCGCCGGTGTCGAACCCAGTTGCCTAGTAGCCTTGCACGCCTAGGCACCTAGGTAATGCAACGTCCGAAGCTGGTGAGTGACTTTTTCATCACACACACACTCTCTCTCTCTCTCTTCCTCTCCCATGGTCCTAGTCTTTGGCCATTTCCGGCCGGCAAGGGGGGGGGGGTGTCAAGCCACGAAATGGCGAGAGAGAGAGAGACACAGAGAGGAGGGGTAACAGAATAACTCGGTGCAGGGCGTCATCTAATTACCCTGGTTCCCGGCCCCCTTCCTAAATCACCCCTCTAGGCCTCCCACACCCCCAACGCGCAATAATCAAACAAGCGAGATAAGGTATCAATATCCAAGGGGTTGAAACACGTCTGTCCGTCTCTGCAAAAATGCGTCTTGTCTTGTTTTTTTTGTCTTTTCTGCAGGGTATCATGATACATGTAAGATTGCCCAAAAGAAGCCAGCCCTAGATTTCAAGAAGCCAACAAGAGTGAAGATATTGCCAAATTCCACCCTTCCATTTCGAGAAAACTTGTCCAAATCGAGAAGTTGAGAAAAATAAAATAACTCCAACCTGAGTCTTAATGCTCTCACCAACCCCCCTTGGTGAGTCTCACCTCGCAGGTGGATTTTGGCCGGCCGTTGATGATTTCACCACACCCGACAGCTATAGGTACACCCAAACAAAATATGTAGTGCTGACAGTACCATACACATCAAAACACCAGGTGTGGTAAGAAAGAGAAGCAGAAAATTTGAATCCATGATAAAACCCGAGGCTCGTCGGTTGTGGATGTACCCGCCCGCCTAAAAGAAGAGAAAGAATCGAAAGAAGTGAAGTAGTGCCGTGACCCGTGCATGCCTTTTGAAGAAGTGAAGAATGCGCGCCTCCAGTTCCAGAACATCTGGAAAGGCGTCAAGCTGCGAGGAGAAATCAATGCCTCTCTCTCTGTGAAATCGAAATCATCGACGGCAACCCCAAGCCGCCGTCGAATGCTCTCCCTGCCTTTACTGTCCCCGACGCTGTTTCCAGTTACGGGGGTTGAAAGGGCCGAGAGTCGTAGCCAAAGAATAATGTGGCGGGATGAATCCAATAGAAGCAAAAAATTCGGAAGAAAATGTCGTACTCATGCATCTCGTTTCGCGAAATTTCGCCGTGATGGCATGGCTGAAACAAGTCGTAAAATTGGCCCGAGCCAAATTGCAATCAGTGCTGCCTGTCGCATGGCTGCTGATCCTGCGACCCCACGCGTCCGTCTCGTCCATCCACCCCTCACAACGGGGATCGTCGTCGTTCCTCGCCCTGCCCTTGATAAGCCTCCGTTGGCGTCGGTCCGTACTGAGCTGCATGCGATGGCTCTTCGGACAACAGGGATGATACCGAATGTCCACCAATACTCCTCGGTGCCTGTTGCTGTTGCTGAGCAGATACCGAACTGGCGATACCGTATTCCGGGGCCGTGTTGAAGCTTGCGACTTGCGGAGACATGCCTCGAGGCGTCCCGAAACTCTCACCTCGGCCACGACCCGTCGGCCTATACGACGAAAGATCGCTGCGTTGTCGTGTATGACCCCGTCTTCGCCCCGGCGGGGGATTCTCAAGCGTTGATCCACCGTGGAAAGGAGGCGATCGCAAGCGTTGATGTTGACTTGGCGGTGGAGGGGCTGGCTGCGGGCCTGTGGCCTTGCGCTTGTTCCTAGGAGACTCCCCTAACGGCCACACCAGCCAAGGTTAGCCTAAAGCGACTCTCTCTTTCTTTTGGTTTTGCTGGACGCACCGGAGGGTGTCGCAGGCTGAGTAGAGCCACCTCCGGCTTGGGATGTCGGCGGGTGCCAGTGGTGAAAGTAGATGGAGGGGCTCGGCTGGGCCTCTTGTTGAGACTGCGCAGACTGCGCGGCTGCGTGCTGGTGGCTCTGCAGTGCCGACGGGCCTGGTGGTCCAGAATGGGGGACGTTCGTGTTGAGGCTGGGCAAATTGCTAGATCCGAGTGGCCGGGACACCGAGCCGGTTGAGGACAAAGTCGTTGCCCTTCCCCGCTGGGGAGAGCCTGGGTAGGCGGGGAATCCGTGAGGTCCGGGGGCGGAGCTCGGCGTCGAAGGAACGCCCGCATATTGACCATAGGGCTGGGACTGAGAATCGCGGCGATGCTCGGGTGACAGAGGACCTTGGGAAGGAAGCAGCTGAGGGTGCTGAGGCTGTCCCTGCTGGGCGAGGAACTGCTGTGCCCACTCCAGGGCGGCAGGAGGAACACCGCCTCCCATTCCAGCAAAGACAAGAGGAACAATGGGCGGGGGGATTCCGCCGCTCAGCGAGGTTCGCAGCATGTCGGCCTCGATGCGCCGTTGCTCTAGACGCAAAGTCTCTTGCCTCGTCTTCTCTTCCTCCTGTCTCCTGCGCTCTTCCTCGGTCTTTGCTGCCAACCAGCTCCTCATGGAATCCTCGGCGCCTTGCCACTGCGGCGGCGGACCGGGCAGCTGACCCATCAGATGGCCATGACTAGATTGAGCTTGGCCGATGGATTGGGGCGCGGGAGGAGGTGGCGGAGGAGGAGCCGAGCTTGGGTGAGGCGGCTGAGGCGGCAAAGTCATGGCCGCCGGGGGAGGCAGGCCACGATGATGTGCCGACATAGGCTGGCCAGCTGGACTGTGACTACGGGGAATGGACGGCAGCAGCTTGTGCGAAGGGTGGTCTTGGTAAGCCAAGGGAGGCGAGGGTCGAGATGTCGAGGGCGGAGTAGGTAGGTCATGGACGGACTTGTAGCCGTAGTGTGTTGGCTGCTTAACTGTGAGCATGGTCATGTATACTCATGTGCTCCAGGTGTTTTCAAAAGTTGTTGAAGGTGAAATCAGACAACATGGGTGGCTGATTTTGTTTCTGGGGTTTGATGTGTGTTTTTCGGGTGGTTGTTGATGTTGTTGTGTATGGAATCGTGTCGTGTCGAGTCAAGAAAGTGAAGCTCAAGCTCAAGCTGCTGGTGAAGAAGAAGAAGAAGGCAGCGAGCAGTAGTTGAAGAAAGCGAGACAAAGGGGAGTTTGAAGGAAGGTCAAGAAGTGGAAAAGTGAGGAAAAAAGCTGCTGGCTGGCCAGTCAAGATGGGTGGAAGGAAGACAGGTGAAGAAAGGTTGAAGAAGAAACCCGAGGCGAGAGGTGAGGTAAGGTAAGGTAAAATGTAGGAAAGAGCAAATTGAGGTATGGGGGGTGCAGGTGGTGGAAATAACCTTTTTACAGGCGCGAAGCTGGAAGGGCGGCCAGCTCCAAGTTGGGAAAGAGACTTGGGTTGGGACTGGAAGGGAAAGGGACAGACACCACAGACACCGCACACCACCGTTAGGTACGGAGTACGGAGTTACACGCCTGCGGCCCTGCCCTGGACACCTCTCTTTCCATTCTGCATTTCACGCCCGAGAGGGGGGTACGTATCTTTCTCAGACTCTGACGCAACAGCAACAGCGGCGGCGCCAGCACCAGCAGTAGTATACGTAGGCCACCAGCAGCTTCTACTACGTACCTATCCTTACGGAGTAGTCTGAGGTACGGAGTTACCTCACTTTCCTTTCCCAAAGGACGAGAGGGACCCAGAGACCCAGACCTAGACCCAGACCCAGACCTGGGCCCCAGGGCCTAGAGAGAGAATGAGAGGCAACTCCGTGCCCAGCTGGGACTAGTAAGGCACGGCAACTTGCAAGGAACAGAACTAGCTAGCAGCGATGCCGTTGCACGGAGTACGGATAGGTGGTGTACGAATACTGAGCATGGAAAGTGAAGAGGGAAAGGCGAGCCAAGGTCAAAGAAGGAAAGGTATCCCATACCGTGGCACGCGTGGGCTCTTTCGTCCTTTCGCCCTCCTCCCACTCGTCTCTCAGATACCTGACCTTACCTCATCACACTCACAGTCCTCTACTGTATCCATCCGTATCGGGATTCGTAGTACAAAGTACAAATCAAGGGCGGAACGGACGGTGATGAACCCAACTCCATGAACAGGCCCAGCCCCATTTAGGCACGGAGACGTTTTTAGTGCCAACGACGTAAGGCAAGATTGGGAAGGGCTGAGAGTGTCGTTCCTGGGTTGGCATAGCAAGCAAGGCTGGTCGATAGAGGAACAACCTCGCATCGTGGAGTACATGTACAGATACTCAACGCGGAATCACAGTCGAGGCCAACACACAACTTGATACTGATCCCCAACGTCCCTTTCCTCAACCTACCTACCTGTATCGTAGATCGCCGGAGCCTCGAAACCTCCATGGCAAGTTATGGTGCGAATCAAAGCGCCAGGTGCTGACGATGTGCCGATGCATCGCTGGAGCAGTAAGAGGAGCCGAGGCGCAACTGTGGGTATTGTAATATGTGGTTTCTGGGAGGAAGATGGATCATGGACATGGAGGGGGGGGGAAGGCAGGCAGGCAGGCATTGAACGGCCTGTGTTCTTTGGGAACCCGCGGGCCCACGAGCGGGAAGAGAGTGACGGGGGTGTGTCATGTAAAAGTACGGTGCGCAAATGTCTGTATATGGAAATCTGCAATGTGTGCGTGTGTGTGTGTGTGTGTGTAGGTTCCTCTCTACAAAGTAATACACCACCTCTGAGTCCTCCGTGTGTGCGTGTGTCCGTCTCCCTCTTTCGTTATTTCGCCATTTCCCTTTTCCATGGAACCCCGGCCGGGGGTGCAGGTGCGGATACTGATGCAGATGCAGATGCTGGATGGAGACGCGGGAAAGGAGATGAACCACTCCAGCAAGGCCCGACTGATTCGACGAGGCGTGCAGGATCATAGTGTGGAAGTCAGTCCAGGTCCATCCAAGGCCGTCGAGGAGATACTAGGTATTCGTACTCAGGAGACACTCAGGGAGTCTCCAGCTTTTCCTGGCAAATTTGAATCGCAAGCACCATCCACAAAGTAATATGTGCGAATAGTAAGAGAAAGCAAAGGACAGAGAGAGGCATAGGAGTCTAGGAGATGGCCCGGCCGTTTACGGATAGTTCAGGATAAGGCTCGGTGCGGAATGGATGGTGGTCAAGGTGCGTTGCCCGTGGTGGAGAATGACAGTGAGCCTGGTTTATTTCATTTACAACCAGCGCGTATCAGAAGAGATGACACATGGAGGGGGATGAGCACAGGGGGGTGCGCGTTGTTTGTGTCCAAGCCCAGCCCAGTCTAGTCCGCGGTCCCAACCCATAGATCAAGTGGCGCGAGGGGGTGTCTGCACGCCCATGCCCACCCACATGGACTCCTCCCACTCCCAAAAACCCAGCAAGGGCAAAGAGGGGGGTGTTAACCAGGGAACTGTGGCGAAGGCGGCTAGTCAGTATTGGGCCAAGATGGAGAAATCCCACACCGGCGTAGAATCAGACTTCAAGATGAACTGACGGCCACTGGAGGCGAACGAGGAATGAGGAATGAAGAACGAGGGATGTGGGATGTGGATGTGGATGTGGGTGTGCTGTCTGTGGATGCTAGATGCTGGAGGGCCAGGATGCCGGATGATGGGTGCTGCAGCAAAGACAGTTGGAAATCGGAAGTTGGGGGCGAGAAGTGATGTAAGAAATCTACCGATCCATCTCCCAGAACCAGAAAAGGCTGCATGGTGGTTGGGCTGGGAGTCGCTATTGTCATTGTCAAGGACGGCGACGTCTTCGGATCGGCTTTTGCCTTTTCCCAGTCAATATGCTGCTGTTGTATCCATGCTTCCTGTGCCAGTATCGGTGCGGCTTTCGTGCTACAGTCAGCTTGAAGTAGAAGCATCAACCCATCCACCACCACAACTCTACTGTACCGTGACCCAACACCTATGGCTTGTGTATCCATGACCCGTAACCGTGTACCTACAGTATCTGTACTAGGTTATAATACGAGCTAAAGAGCAAGAGCGGGGTCTTGGACTGCGGTATCAGTACTCCGTAGAAGCGAGACGAGAACAGGAGGAGACCAGTATTCGGTGGCAAGGCGCAAGCCACCCTCACTGACAGGATACGCACAACACGCAAGACAATGCGTGAGCAGCGCTGCGTATGACCGTCAAAGGGGGGCTGGCAAGCTGGCTGAAGTGAGGGTAGTGCAGGACAAGTCGGGACGTGAGAATGTCGGACCTTGGCCCTGATATCCATGTCCATTTGCTGGACGTTGACGTTGCCAACGCCGATGAGGTTGCTGCAACTATTCCCTCCTCCATCTGCGCAAGGTGTTTCTTGCTTGCATCGCACACAGTCATCTTTGTCCCCTGGTCCGTCGAGAATTCTCCGCGCCCTCAAGCTTGGCATGCAGCTTTGTGACCTGATTATGTATAGAGACTCCGCCAGGAGCTGCCGTCGGTGGGTAAGCATTGTAGCTTCGCCTAGCTTCCCAAAGTGGGTAGGTGATTGAGGGGGTGTCGTCGTCGGGAAACTGTGTTCGCGTGCGCGTGCCGCCGTGTTCTATGTGAATGCAGTTCAACATCCGTAGCCAGCAGGGGTAGCCTGGTACGCATCTTTGAGGCAGTAGACAAATGCAGAAGTGTGTGAGCAGCAGAGTTCGACCAGAGGCGCAGGGTCGATCCTGATGATTAGTTGACGACACCATCACCTGGAGACAGATTGAGAGAAAGAGGAGAAGCAGCAAAAGCATGGGAAAATAGATAGAGACAGCACGATTGATAACAAGGAAATCGGGGATAGTGTATGTTCTCAAAGCTTGATATCAACCGCCTTTGCCTTGGCCCGTAGGTACTCAAAGGCTCAGGTTGACTCTGCAAACTGATTTCTGACTTTTGGATTCCCAAGCTCGATACGTACACTGACGAGATGGAGCTGGGCGGGGTTATGGCCGCAGAACGGCTGAGAAGGCGAATTCGCTCGCAAAGCTATCTGTTCAGAACGGCTGATTGGACGTTCTCGCTGCAGACGCGAATGGGACGTGATGCAGTCTCGTGCTGAAGCAGGCAAGAACAAGGATACGTCTCCTGGCCGTGCTGATGTTTTACCTAGCCCCTCTTGTCTCGTCTGGTAATTTACTGGTGCGTGTCCGTACATGAAAGCCGCCTCGTGGAGGAACTATAATGCGTTTCGAGGTTCTCCAGATGATATGTACGATTCCCTAAGCTTCTCTTGTCTTCACTTAGCAACTGCTCACAGACCTCGTCCACTGGTTATCGGACTAGATAGTATTGTTGGATTCAACAAGCTCGGCCAAGTATACGTACCTAGACTACTGGAAGCGAGTTAAGTGATGGATGGGATGTCAAGCCCAAGAGTCAGGTCTTGAGTTCGGCGTGGAGCGCTTACTCCAACACTTGCCTTTCCGCGTCTGCCTCATACAATCATCATCCTTGACCGTGGCAGTAAAGATTTTGGCCCAAGGAAAACAATGAGGTAGGTATTGGTACTGTAGCCTTGAGTAGACAGACTCGAGCTCTGCAGCAGCGCAACAAGTTGGGGTGGGGTTCAAAAGAGGCCAGCCACAGTTGTTGATGGTTCAGGAATCAGCGGAGAGCTGGAGAAGAGGGTGTGAAGGTGCCATCAGGGGGGGGTGTGTGTTTTTTTTTTTTTTTTTTTTTTAACGAGGTATAAAAAAACGGGCTGTCGTTGTTGGTGTAAGGGGAGGCCACCAAGACCAAGGGAACGAAGAAGCTGGGAATGGGTGTTCGTAGTTGGCAGTACTCGAGTCTCAAGGGCTCAAGGGGCAGGCGGCGTGTGCGTCCGAAGGATTCTGGATGCTCGGGAGATACCTGGACACGTTACATCGGTACGTACCCAGGGCTGTGCGCCATCTCTCTCCTGCCATAGCTTACATAGCAGTTTACCTGCCGTGCTTACCTTGAGGTATCTTGCCGCGAATGTGCAAGTGCATTGGGGTAAACCCGTAAAAAATTGCCTTGTAGATCTTGAATGAGAAAGAATGGCCCAAGTAAAGAAATTCCGTGTAGTGAAAGGTAGCCATAGGATGATGAGCAATTGCTTGTGAAATCAGCATTGGGCCACATGTTTGTCTGAGGTTGATTTTCAACCAACCTGTCAGCTGAACAGAATACTAGGCGTTCCGTACCGTAAGCTTATGAGATGAGCCAATGTCATTGTTTGTAGGCATTCGAAGATACGGTCATGTCCATGTATGGTAGATCATCTAGTTCGGCTAGCCGTGTGACGATTGTAACGCGTAAGGGTGCGGTCAGCCATAGAAGTCGAGCTGATGTAGAGATAGCGTCCAGCAAGCAAGCCACTTTGTGTTGAGTACGTCCTCTCAATCAGGCAATTTGCCGGCACAATACTCCAGATTCCAGGGGTGTGGCTGATGACCGAGTATTCAGTCAAGACAAAGGCGAGACCCGATGCAGAAATCGACAAACCATGTCTTTCAGTGGGCGCTTCCGGAAACCTATCGATGGAGGTCGATTTCGAGAGCCAGACTCTTCCTCTGCCGGATAAGGTGTCATGGAGAGACCCCAACTTTGAGAAGATTCTCCCCTTCATCCAGGGTCTAGCTTGGTGGTGGCAGGAAGCCTGCCTGGCTCAACGGCGCCTGGTCGCAGCTGTTTGATGCAGTTCTTGTCTCGTCTGCCGCCCGCCGGCGCTCATCTCATCCTCGGTAGTCTGCGGCAGGCAAGGAAGCGTCTCCTCCTCCACCTCTGTGCAGCATTGCCTCAATGAAGCCAGGCGCGTCTTGCTACATGGCTTTGAAAGGGGGCACGGTGCCGGGGGTGGGCAAGTCCGCCATCGCATTGTCTACATCCAAAGGAGGCAGAAGACGTATGTGCGTACGGATAGGTAGTCGTGGCTAAGTAGTTTTGACGCTGGTTCGGCTCCGACAGGAAACTGGCCGGAAAGGGAATGGTGGTCGAAAGCATCGAGAACCGAGAGGAGATTGCAAGCGTTCTGAGCGCGGTCCACAATAGCAACTGTGCGCAGATGAAGCCAAAGTTATCAACCGAGACTGCCCAACGGCCAACGCATCGTGATTGGGGAACGTCCGGCTAGGCAGCGAGATGATGAGCCGCAGTCTGCGCCTTGTTGAATATGTGCGGTGGGAGTGCCATTCTGACTACCAGAGTAGGCTGATAGCTCAGCTCACCCCGTTCTCAGAACTGTAGTCGGTGATGGCGAGATTGAAGCGAGCTTAGCGTCGTGCAGCCGTCCTTTCAGTCCTGCCGCTCAAGCGAGGTGAACTCGGCGCCAAGAAGATGCGGCATCGGTCTCGTAGAAGCCTATCGTGGAGTTCGATGTGGAAGAAGAGGTGATAGGTGGTCGAATTGAAGTTATTGCATTTCATTCGATTCCGTTCTGCGCACTATCAAAATGAGATGGACAATTCGATATGATGTTTGCGAGAGGAGGCAGCAGCGTCAACTGTCGATCTCATGAGCGAACACCCGTCTCCGGAAGCTATCCTGGGCTTGAGCGATGTGATTTGTTCACCAAGAGACACCTTGAAAGGTCGTTGCTAGCTGTCATCCTGACAACCACATGTGGATTTGTCGATCAGCACCGCCAAAGAGGTGACGCCGACAGGCCCATCCCGGAATTCCAGGCTAATTGCGCAAGCTGCTTCAACTCAACTCACTACATAAGTTCAGACTTCAGAGGCGAAAGAGTTTCCGTCTTGTGATTGGATGCTTCTTCCAGCCAACGGCGGCGCAGTTGCCAGAATAGGATCTGAACTTTTTTTCTGAAGTAGGTATCTCGTTACGCAGCATGGAGGGAGGCGGTGGCGGCCAAGTTTTCGGAGCATTCCTACATGTAGGAGCACGCGGTACTCTGTGACTTTCAACATCATGGCCTATGCTCAGTTGTACGGAAAAGCTCGTTCGACTGTGGCTGGCTTCCATTGCCGTAAAAATAGCCTTTCACGTTGCACTGTGTATGAATGAGGACGTTCCCGCCATGAGCGTTACACCGTTTTGGTGGACTTGACACGAGGATCAGGTAATGATGAGTCGCTATGCACAGGGGCTGAAGGCAGACAAGAAACACGAAAAGAGTTGGCTCTGTTGAAAATGGCCGTTACGTTGTGGTTATGTTGACTTTTGTCTTTCCGGTGGTGGTGGTGGTGGTAATCCTTTTGGTGTTGGTGTTGGGTTGGTGTCTTTGGAGTCTGGGCTAGGGGACTGGGCTAGACCGAAATCCGGAATCCAGATTCTCGACTTTGGACCCAGCAAATCTCTTTGCACTTGCAAATGCGATGGCGCCCGGACGATCCCAGATCGCCTTCCATCGAATGTTGACCAATCAACAAGGGCGGGACTTTCCCCTCTGAGAAGTTTGTGGCAGGAGCGGTCCCGTCCCTCGATTGGCTCTAGGCTTCTTTTGGATTGCGATGGAGCTCAATCTGCATGACCGTGCAGCATGCAGCGATACGTACCCTACGGAGTACAAAGCACCCCCGCATGGGTGTGAGAACAGCAGGGGCCCATGCGTGGATGTATCCCGCGTGCCCGCTCCTTCTTCACAACCACGACGTTTCCTGGAAGCTCCACCCCTGCTCACCCACCCAGTCGGAATGAGCTCCCAAGGAAAGACATTGGGCAGCTAATAAGGTGCGGAGCTACAAGGCAGGAGAACCCTTGTCGTGGCTGTAAATCTGAAACACGGTGACGAGGAAACAGGGGTCATCCTCTTTATCCACGTTGACCACCACTGCCTACGAATACGCAGTCACGGAGTACAGTCACCACCTACCACTGCTCTTGCTCTGACCACTACCACTACCACCACCACTAAGCAGGAGCGGAAAAAGGGAGGATGCTCGAAAAAGAGAACAAAATCAAAATTGACGCTCAATTCCGTAAGTGATGCAGTCAAAACAGATATCACTTACCGCTGATGGTAGCAACTCCAAGAACGTTTCCCAGAATTGCACAAGGCACTCAGACTCGGCAAGACCACCTCGGCAGCCGTGACCTGGAACCCTTTCCGCTTCCTCGAGCTTCTATCTCATTACACCTAACCAACCTAATTACGACCCTCACCCAACCTCTTCCAGTTGTCCAAGCATCCTGCAAAACATCTACCCACTAATAATCAAACCTACATCTTTGTTGCCAGGGTCGCTGTCTGTTACGGACGTACGCAGTTATTGAGTTATGCCACTCAGACGGAGGCACCGTCAACGCCCACAACCGCCCTCTATTGCTGTAAATGGCCTCGAACGACCTTGACTCGACGTGACGGACAAGTGCCACATTGCCACAGTCTATAGCCTACCGACACTTCTTCTTTCTCTTGTCCGAGGCCAGGCCAGAATGAAGCTCTTCAGGACGTGCATGACAAGCTTCGGGCAACGCCACGGATCTCAACACTAATCATGCGGCTCTGGGGCACTTGGCTTCAACTTTGGGCTTGTGGCTCGATCCAACAATTCGGCTCCAACTATATCACCAGCTCAGTTGCGCTACATATGGACAGGAGTGCACTCTGCGCCCGACGCTACTTTAGCCACCATCACTTGGAGGTCCATCCTTTCGCCTATTCCGGCCACGACAAAGCCAAGTTCTCGATGGTGCATTTGCAATTCCGCCAGAAGCGGCATCGTGGCTTCCGCAAGATGGTTTCTCAACCTTATCCGGGACTTGGGCGGCGGTCTTGCACGTCTACCTCTTCCACGACGGAACATCGAGGCATGGTCGTTGCCCTCCATCCTCAGGGCCGGACAACGCCACATCCCTGACCGTTCAATTTATCCGCCCGCTGCAGGAATCCCCAAATCACAATCTCCTCAATGCCGTCAGCCCTGGACCCGTCAGACCCCGCCAAGCCAGTCCTGGGCACACCCACACGTCCTCAGCCTTCCACCGTCCAATTTGGTGGCGGTTTCACCTCACCTATCTAAGGTGCCGACGAGGGAGTTAGCACTCTGGAGTCTGGGAGGTTCTCTTCCTGATGTGGAAGTAGGCACTACCAAGCACTAGTATACTACCATGGAGTGCTGAATTCAAAAACTGCCATGCTGTGCATCGACAGCCTGACATCACATGCTTGCGAAAGGGCACGAAAGAACTCTAGATTTCTCCTTTGATCGAAACGGAAGAACTGTTGGTCACCGCTTCCAAGAGACCTGCTCAGTTACCACCACCCAAGAACACAACTACAGACTTGGCTTCAACGATTTTGGATTCTCGGACTTCCGAGGAGAATTGCACGGTAAACTGTCTGCCCGCTACGGCAAGCGCATGTTCCGCTTGACGAACCAAGCATCTAATTCGGCATGTGACGATTCGCAACGTAGGAAAGCTCCTTTGCAATCCGTGTCGATGCTCATCAACTAGACATGCATAGCGCATTCCTCAGCTGCAACCCTCAATCTGCTTGGCTTTGCCTAGCCGAAGACATTGTCTAGAAATTTGTGAGTATGCCTACGGATACACTACAGGTCCTGCAGCCTGCGGGGTCTAGCAATGCTTGTCAGGTTCAAGGCAGGGGCCTGACCCAGCTCAATTCCCGCCGTCAAGACTGGCCTGGCATCGGCCTCGTCTCCTCTAGCGATTTCAGTACCTCGACCTCGGTGTGGTCGTACCGAACAGGCATTTTCTGTAAAGAAACAGCTCGGATGATGGCCAGCTCAAGGTAGCTAATGTTCAAGCTAGCTCGGCACACTTGGCAGAAAAAAGGCACGATCGTCAAAGTTGGGCCAGCCATATGTGGCACGCATGTGCTTTGCATGCGTTCCGCGGCGCATGCTGCTCGTGCTCTTGCTACGCTGATCCTCCACGAAGCTTGCCCTAAAGATCTGCGTGGGAGAGAGGGAAGGGGCCGGGTTATCGGCGGAACGCGATCGATGGGCTAGGGAGGAGGAGACGGGGACGAATAAAGAGCATCAACCAGCCGTGCCAGCCCCACGAGCGACACCGCGATACTGACACCCACACCGTTCGAGTCTCGACTGCCATCGCTACGCGCCAAGTCCCGCTCCTTCGGCTCGTTGGAGCTCGCGCAACTGTCCTACATGCCTAAAATGATCTGTTGACCGAGCTGATCTGCGATGAGGCTGCATGAAGATCCTTGGACAACGTGATTAGCGAAGTGGAAGAGTAACGCTCAACCAAGCTCAAATTTCGGAAAGGCGGCCTTTTCAGCGCAGCCTACGGATAGACATGAGAAAAGAAGACACATCTGTGTGATGATCATCACACGGGAGTCTTGCTCTAATTCTTCTCATTCGAAGACTCTATTTGTGGCCCACGAAAACATCGTTGTCTTCACGACCCTCGCGACTCTCGACCGCAGTCTCGAGCCACTTGTTCTGCGAGCTTTGCGCCAAATTCGATCCTTAATCAGAGAGAGGCTGGGTTGAATTATGCAAGCAGCTAAAAGCTTTGCTGCTACGAGCGGCGCGCGGGACTAGTTTCTCTGGCCTGTAACATTCTCGTGCCAAAATCATGGTTCCACAAGCACGTTTGCCCGTCAAGGGGCGCATCAGCGGACTAGCCTGGAGACGTGCGTGATTGATAGATGTCGCCCCAAGCCAACAACGACACGGGACGCTATTCCAGTGTTTCTGAGACACGATCGTCTCTCTCTCTCTCATGAGATGGCCCTGGGTGTCTCGCAGGCGACTGCAGACCAAGTTCTGGCAGACTGGTGACTGCCCTTCTGTGCGAACTCGAGCTTCGTGTGCTACTGTCGTTGCCTCGCAGGGCTCTGGCCACCTGTTCCCGAGTCGACGCTAACTCATGGAGAATTCCGGGTCATCGAGGCACTGGAACTACGGAATACTTCTTCGTCATCTCCTGTGTGAAGAACCATGGCTGACCTGCTCGTGGATTACAGAGAGATTGGAGGGCAAAGCGTCGCCAGGTTTTCCCTTCCGACCCCTCTTCCGTTCTCCAGAACGCCAATGTGGACGGGGACAAGGATACTCTCAGCCGGCTCTCTGCTACTTTGTTGATTGGATCGAAGTTTCGATGATAGAGGTGAAGCTCGACTGATTGCGGCACTGGGCTCGCTAGCTTTTGTCACAAGTTTATTAGGTGGGGAAAGTCAATCCGCCTGCCCTCTCATCCAAGCCATCTCATTCATCTCGTCTCATCTCTTTCTGCTTGAGTCGACGATGATGCTAGGAAATGGCCTGTGACGCTCTGGCCGATTTGGGACCCTGTCCTCTCGAGTATCCCTACCGTTCCATTTCGAGACGACTAGAAACTCGAAGCATAAGGTCGTCGTCCGAAATGCTCTTCGACGATGCTCATAAGGCTTGCGTCGAAGATAAATGAGGGTAGCGAGGGATACTACCCTGCCACGCCTCGGATCCTCGGAAAAGGAGATTGTCCCGCACGTCATGGTAATTCCCTGTTCCCACCGTCTCCTACCAGGCGTGCCAGGGGAGCTGGGCCAGTGTCCATAGACAGGTCCAGGCCAGACTCGACAGAGCTCACCTAAACGTACGGATACAGAGTACGAAGTACTCCGTACGGATACAAGAACCTCATCCTGTCGTGAAGTGGGGGATGCACAAGCAAGGAGAGGACGTGCAAGTGTTCCTGGCAGATGCGGGCTGGACGGCAAGATGGTCGCATCCAATTTGCAAGGCGCAACACCTTGTTTCTCTCTCTTTTTTAGGCCTCGTAGGTTTCATCTCATCTACAACGGAGAACTCAGCACACATCGGCCGACTATGCGAGGGCATTTGCTGAAGCATGTCAGCGCTCGCTTGTCAGATTAGGCCAAGATCCTGACTGAGTCTAGAGTTCCCAGCACGTCATTCACACGAGTCTATCCCGTTTTGCGATGGACGTCCCAAGGGCAGTGTGCAGGGAGGGCGGCCATTGTGAGGAGTTTGAGTTCGGCCAGACACAAGTCCAGGGCATCAGCGCCCTACCGAGACAACGGCAGGGCTAGTCAATGCCACTTGGCCATGCGGACGTTCCCCGGCGAGACGAGGCCTTTTGTCCTTTCCAGCTAGCGTCCCGATATGGAAATGATCTTTGAGGGGTTGCATCTCAAAAGCTCACTGTGGCCAAACCCGTTTTTCAACATGCCAACCTCCATAGTCCCCCCCCCCAAATCCACGGATACTACATCCGGCGAGTCACTGCGGGAAATAACAACAGGCCAACCGCTAACCGGCCAGGAAGCCGGGACTGGCACCGAGTGCCTAGAGGCATGGTGTGCCCCTAATCCCGCAATGCGTTTTCTCGCCATGTTCTTGGGCAGTCGAATCCCTACCCATGCCCACTGTTGTACCTGAGAGGATGAGGCTTGAGGCTTGAGTTGAAGCCCATCCGCATCGGAGGTTTAACCTCCAAAGGCGAAACAATGTTTGCCTCCCGTCTCACCGGCTCGCGTCTGCCGTGCACGCCGTGTCCGCCGGGGGAGGTTCCTTACCATTCCCCACCTGTGAAGAGAAAAACAGACGATGATGTTACGCGGATAAAGGGGTGGGGGGCCGCAGGCACGGGGACGGAGTCAGCAGGACGCATCGCGGAAGAGGGGAAGGGTGAACGGCGACGCGAGGACTGGACGGGCGGAGAATGGCGAGGCAGACACCACTTCTAATTCTGCCAGTGCCCCCCCCCTACAGCCGAGGGAGATTGAAGCCGCGCTGGGCAAGCGGAGAGGCGGAAATCATCACAATTACAGTAAGCAGAGAAGAACCCAAGCAGGGTACGGTCACCGGTGCTGCCCTTGAGTCTTGAAACGGTAATCAGGCGTGTCTCTCTCCAGAAAGCCTTCCCGCCCTTTTCGCCCTGGCCTTTCCCTTTTCCCCACCACCAGGGAGATGAGAAATAAAGCGGTTCTCGCTGGACCGCGGGGCGAGCTTGGCATTAAGCAGAAGGAAAGGAAGCAAGCCCAGAAGGAGCTCTAGAAGGAAAAGCAAAACTCTCATCCACCAAAGGGTATTTCCTAGGGTTCGGTCTCTTCGCCATTGCTGGATATTTTGCTCCATCCGGCTTTCCCTCCCTTCATGAGTCGAACCCTCTTCATACTTTCGGCATTTCCTCACCTCGGCGTGGGCATCCACATTGGAGGCAGGGCTCGTGGTCTTGGAGGCTAGGAGCAGGGACTCAGGATGTCTAAGTTGAGCGTCGTGTTCCCAACGCTCCGACGACTTTGACAAAAGTTGTCTCGAAATATTCGGCGTGGCAGGCTGATGTTCTGCCCACCAACCCCGCAGCTCATCTGTCTTGTAATTCATCCCCCCTCGGTACTGTTGTTGCCCGCCCCTCCTTCGTCTTTAATCTCAAAATGGAGATTCAGAGTTTGAACTCTGAAAGTTGAGATGAATGGGAAATGTCCATCAAGAAATCACCATCGAGGAGAGATCATGCCTGCTTGGCTATCAATCAAGTATGGACGACGATGGGCTCAGCGGGAATAAGAAGAAGAAGAGCTTTGATAAGCTCGCAGAGACGTGAGGGGGTGTGAACTCTGCTGGTCTAAACATGGGATGATCCTGTGATCTGAGCTGCTGCATTAATAACGTGGACCAGAAGAACCTTTTGTTTTACCGCCTCTTGGTTTCTTTCGCCCATCTTGGGTGTAAGGACATTGCTTGATTCGGAACAGTAGGGTTTGTGATGAACATGGGACGAAAACTGTCTGCTCAACCTGTTTTCCCAGTCCGATCACATTTCCTGTTCGACTATGGAAATCTAGTGCGAGTTTAGACTACGTTGCCTTTTCATTTGACTGGCCATTGTCTAAATTGAATGGAGCTCCCCCCTCTATCTCAGGTCTCCGTCACCGAGTGGGATGATGCCTCTGCCTGGAATGTGCGTTTCATGGGGGATTTGTATTTGCTTTCTGGAAGTTTGGAAACTAAAGCATACGGAAACGGGCGGGCACGACGAATCAGGCAAGAGGCAGAGCAAAGAGGAAAATCCGAAATGAGGGAGAAAAAAAAACAAAAGTTTCATCATCGAATCTCCAGCCCAGCCACACAACGGCGAGGCAGATTTTCTCCCTTGGTTCTTGCAAAATGTGCATCCCATTTCGGGTTTCCAACACCTGAGAGAGGAAGGGGAGATAGGGAAAGGGAAAGAAGAGCGAAGCTCCACTCTGAGCATTCATCTTTTACCTTGCGGCGGCTTCGTTGCCGCAATTCGGATTACGAGTAAGTCTGTTTTTTTTTGGGCCCAAGTTGGTCAGTGATGGATTCTGGCGTAATCTCTTTTTTCTCTCTCTGCGTGTCCGTATCTCTTCCCTTTTCGCGTTGCGTGTGATATTATCCCCATCAGTGGGAACAGTCTCATTCTTCCATTCCCTTCTACTACATGAATTCTCCGAAGCTTCTCTCTTTCGGACAAGACGTGAAACCATGGCGGGGTGACAGGTATTGTTGACCCTTCTCACCAAAGGAAAATGAGGCCATTTTGCGAGTCGTTCTTGTTAAAGCTGATGACGATGAACATTTTTCTTCATCTATGATAAACCCTCTTTATTTCTTTCGCATTTCCTACTCCGTATTGTGGCCCCCATCCCATCTAATTGAGCTTTTTCCTCACGCCCACACGCACACGCCCCCCTTCCCCAATCACTCCCTCATCATCCACATCCACACACACACAGGCACAAGGCTAATCTGGAGTTCCGAGGGGCCGAAACCCTGGTGATTCAATTTAGATATCCTTGTCGAGCTGGTGAGAATCAAAATGCGGTGATACACAAGTCACGAGTGCCTTGCCTGTCGTGCCTGTTCAGGGTTCTTGTTCCCTGGGCTGAATGCTGAATGCAAGTTCGGATCGGGCGAGGGGGAGTATATTAGATTCACGAAATGGTCCTCACGAGATCCCAAATGTGGACTTAATCAGGCATCCCAGGAAACAAAGA